AACCTCCAAAAACTAGACGCGCAGCAAACCCTCAAATATTCTACCATCTCCCACCGTTCCACAGTAGATAATTCCCTCAATGAATCCAGCGAAAGATTAAATCATTATCCTCCGTACGAGAGGCAAGAACAATCTCGAACGGCAGAGAAGAGCGAAGATACAGAGACAGACAGACAGACAGAGTGAGAGAGAGAGAGAAAAAAAGAGGAAGAAACTCACCAGCACGGATGGCACGGATCCACTCAGCGCGGTCCTGCTCGCGGGCGGCCAGAAGGTAGAGCGTGTACTCTTGGCCGGCTTCTCGATAGCCCACCTGGAACGGCAGCCCAGGTGGTATTCCGCCCCCGCCTGTTCCCGCCTCGCTGCCTGCCACCTCGCTGCCGACGCCGCCGCCGGCGTTGCTCCCGAGGCTCGCCGTTTCAACCACGTGGACGCTCTCGACCGCGATTCTACCCCGCTCCTTGCGCCGCTGCGACAGAACAGAACAACCGTGTTTCCCGGCTCGTTATCATGTACCCGGGGTAAAGAAGAAAAAAAGAAGAAAAGAAGGAAACGTCGCTGGGAGGACAACGCGGGGGTGGGAAGAATGAAACGGGGCTAGAGCGGCGGACGTAGCCGGAAGGCGGGCCGAATACATGCGGCAGCTAGCTTCCGTTTTCCGCGAAAGACGTTTACCCACTTTTTTTCCTTCTCATTTTCCCGTGCGCGCGCGCTTTGTTCGCTCGCTTTTCTTTGAGATCTCCTCGGGTTCTTTGTAGGCTCCCGCGGGGGTCAGGGGCGCTCGGTTTTGATGGAAGTTTGTTTCTCGCAGATTGATTCCGCGTTGCCCCGGTGATTCTCGGGAGGCTTTCGGTTTCGACGCGATTGGGAAACGGGGATCTTGAGATTCGATTGGAACGTGTTTCGAAGTTCCTAAACGAAAGACTCGTCTCCTCAAAAATGGGTCTATAGTAGATTGTTCCAAATCAAATCTGTCTTCACATTCAAATTCGTGGAAGTACCAGAAACTTGTCGACTATTTTACGAATGCTTTGTTATCTAGGGTTAACCCCTTGTTCTACAACAAGTGATCGTTGTAATCAATAATAGTGTAAGTATAAATAAGTATAGTAATCAACTATTATACTTAAAAGGAAAAATATAGGCATAACATATGTTTAGAATTTTCCTCTTTTTCCAATAAATTATCAATGATAAAGTAACCGTGTCGATCAGAGTTCAGAAAGAAATAGGCCAAAGGGTTAACTGCCATGCGTACCATCTATGGTACCCGGAATTTTTGTAAGGGAATATTTTCTCGCGAAACAATAGAAACATAAAGAAATAACATGAAACTATTTTAAAAGTCGATAGCAAAAGCTCGAATGTAAGTTGGTCCATCAATTAAGAAATCAGTGCACTTTATAAGTAAGATATACAATTTTTCTCTTTTTCCAATAAATTATCAATGACAGAGTAGCCGTGTCGATCAGAGTTCAGAAAGAAATCATAGGCGAAGGGGTTAACACAATGACCGACAGTCTGTCATTCGGAAAATCGAGAAGGCATCGGTTCCACCGAGGAAAAAACATCGCGAGCACCGACGAGCCGACAATCCCGCGGAATATTTACGCTTCCGCGGAAGCCTGCCTGTCGATTCGCCGGCGGCGAGCTGACTGACAATGCCGTTCGGTTTCTCCGTGTTCCCCCCGATTTTTTTCCTGTTCCGTTCCGTCTCGTTTCGCTTCGTTCCGGCGATGTATCGGCGAAACACGCGGCCCGGGGAAACGAAACCGACAGGCGTCCCCGCGCGCGTTATCGAGACCGTCGGATCAAGATTGCACGGGGATCCAATTCCGTGGCAACTCCCGGAGCCCGGGACTCATTGTTTGGTTAAAACGGGACGCAGTCGTTGCTTAGATGCCTTCCGGTCTCGTCTCGACTAATATTTGGATCGGGGATACACGTCCCGGGACGCGGCTTCGCCGGCGCGTGGGAGGGTCGTTCGGCTCGCCGAAACCGATCGTTCCGGGGTGCATCGGGACGGAGCAATCAGTGCTCTCTGAATGATCGGATGGCTCTGATCGTTGCTCGAGCTAATTCGGATTGCTCTGAGTGATCAGATTGTTTTGATAATTGCTGTGATCAGAGCTGATTCAGATTGTTTTGATCATTGCTCTGATCAAAGCTGATTCAGATTGCTATGATCATAGCTCTGATCATTGCTTTAATAAGAGCTGATTCAGATTACTCTAAATAATCAGATTTCTCTGATCATTGCTCTGATCAGCTCTGATTCAGATTGCTCCGACAGAGCAATCACTCAACAGTAGAAATTCCGAATTCAGATTACCCTTAATCGCACCACGTGTTTTTCTAACGAATCATATCACGATGTGACTCTCAGTCAGTAATGAGAATAAAATGTTATTGTATTCCATTTATAGAGCCGAAATTTTAAAAGCGAGAGATTTCAAAGAGAATTGCATTAACCTACGAAGAGAAAAGATCTGTACACTGCGAGCTATATCGTTTCTATTTATTTCTATTCTATTCAATTAACTATTCCTGTTTTTTTTAAATGAAACATATCTGATTTCCATTGATATCGCAATTATTTGTAACATATTCATTAGACTCTATTCTTCCGCGTGGTTGACAGCCACTGGCGCAAAGCACCGCTGTGTACATGCAACCAATATCCTTCCGATAGACCGAGGAAACTCGATTTGTCTCGCCGGATTTCCGCCATTCGAAAAGTGCCACCCTCCCCGGCATTACCAGTTATGCTCCCTCTCGCCTTACTCTTTCCAATAACACCGGCGCTCGCTAAAAATTGTTCAATTTGTCGCGCGTGCGCCACCCGCACGGTTCGCCGGCGTGCGATAATTTGTCTCAGGCGCGGTAGCGAGGTGCTCGAGGCACGCTCGAATGTTCCCGTGACACACGCGCGCTGTTCATTGGAAGTCATTCAAAAGATTCGGTCCCCGTGATCACCGTAGCAGTCATCGCATTGATAAATTCAACGCCCAAAATCAAGGGTTGAACGCGAATGAGAAGCAACCCCTTATCCTTCCGATTTCCTTAACGTTTTCAACCCTTTGCGGACGAAGATTCTTTGAAACATAGAAAACCGTCGGCAGATAAATAATTTAGATCGATCTAAATTATTAGATCTAAATTATAGACCGATTGCTTAGAAACTACGTACTGATCTCCTGCTGTTTTAGTAATCAAATCATTTGTTTGCGACTTAGCGTTGCAAATATGAACATCTGGTCTCGCTAAAGTGTCGACGTTCGTCCGCAAAGGGTTAACATTTAGACGAATGGGGAGATCTCCCACTTTTCAGTGACCCCCATGGCATTCAACGTGTTAATCGAGTATTACAATAGTAATACGTTTCACGGAAGTCTTTAGTTCAAAGTGAACAATCAACCGTCAACGAGTCGCTCTAATTACAACCCTCGCCGTTCATTTCGAAAATTCCCCGCCGAAATTGTTCCGGCTGTAGGCGATAAAATCGGCGAACTTCGGCCTTTCGTTTCACGGTTTCTGTATTAATTTCCTTCGTCTTCCCTAAGTGCTTTCCTTCGTTCGCTGTCTCCCGCGCCGCGTCCCTGCCCTTTCTTTCCCATCGGCTCGGCGAGGTCGGCTCGAATCCTTTGACCCGGTTACGTCCTCGGGGCGAAGACGGTACACACGTTCCCCGCAAGATTTTCCAATTTTCGCGCGTTAATGGGTCGAAATGAGCTTCAGAGAGTAATTCTCTCAGGTGGCCGGACACCGGACGGCGAACGGTGAAAACTGTTGACGATGAAAAAGCCGGCGGTGTTTGTCTACAGGGTGTGCGGCCCGTGTAAGGGAATTAACGGTCCGGGCTGGATCGGTGGCTATTCGTGTAAAAACATCGCCTTCCGCGGGATCGTTTGCAAGAAAATTCTTCTCCGGTCGTAGACTCGCCCCTGGTCGATATAATTATTAATTCCGTTGCACCCCGCGTCGATTCCACGCGAATCGAATTTAACCCTTAGCACTGATGGTTTTGTAATCTACGGTCCGATGACCGTAGCTTTGAAATTTCTTAATAGCGATTACAATAGAGAAATTGATGTTGAATGACAATATCTAGTCGCATGAGTGAGTAAATAATAGTATGACTCGAGAACCCTTAGCACTTTAGGTTGTTTTGTAATCTATCAACTGGAACTAATTTTTATAGTGTCTAGTGAAAATGAGAAATTCTATAACGTTCTCAGTGCAAAATTTCGATGTATGGAAAATCGAATAATTTTAGGGTAGTTTCTTTGATTCGTTGAAATATTTAATATTCCAACTGGTGCAATATTAGAGCCTACGGAGTTCAAAGGGTTAACCCTTTGCAGACGAAGATTCTTTGCAATGTCAGAGTAATTAAACCATTTCTCTGCGACTTAGTCTTCCAAATATTTCACTTCATCTCTCAAAAATGTCGAAGTTCGTCAAAGGGTTAATATTACACGTAACACTTTGTAATTTTGTTACATCGAATGGCGACCGAGGGTCGCCTCTCGAGAGGGTTAAAATATTTCTACCGAGAACTTTCCCATAAACTTCGCTGCCAGCCGCGATTCATCGGGACGAGTGCGAGAAAAAGCTCGCCCGTCGATTCCCGATACCCGGCGACGAGTTATTCTTCATTGCCTCGGCCGCGGAGGGACAGCTTTCCCTTCTTCGCTGATAAAAAAACGCGTTCCGGCCGGCCGCGAGCCGCGATATCGCGCCGGACCCCGCGGGAGCAGGGCTTTTTTTGCCCGAACAGCTCCAGCCGGCGTGATTTACGAGGCCAACGCGAGTTCGGGGACAGCCGCGTCGCAGTTAAAGTGATATAATATCGCGCCGCAATTTGTAATATTTTTTGCGACGGTTGAAACGCCCCGAATTTCTCGCCGCGGCGATTTTCAACGGCGCCGATTAGGCTCGGAGAGGGATGGAGGCTTTCGAGACCGACTGAAAGGTTTTACTTTGGGTTTGTGTTACGTTAATGCGTGAAAGTTGTGTTTTCTGATGAGATAAAACCGACAGTCTGGGAAACTAACTCGAAGAGAAACACGTGCATCGAGGAACAAAGCTATTTTATTCGAGTATTTATAAAATTGATGCGTTACACGAGGTATGATATTAAATATGAAATTTTATGGCATGAAATCAGGCGAGCGCGTCACCCCTCGAGCGCAGACGGTCGAAATGAACGATTAAAACGCAATTTCAACTCGACTGCGAGTTGCTGTGTATCGGAAACCTTTTACCCTTTGATTAAATAATTTTTCAAAACTCGGGGAGCTAATTTGAAATGGATAATTAACTAGCATGAGAAACGGAGTTGCACGTTCGGTCTATATCTATGTTTACGCTGCAGCATACCAATTAACCCGTTGGCTACTGTCGCCGCCTGGAGGCGCGTTAAAAATTTCGTTTCTGTGTACTGTTGGCAACCACAGGTGGCCGTAA